TTTTTTTTTTTTTTTTTTCCGTCTCGACGCCCGTGGTAACATTTGATAGTAAAATTCAGGAATGCGCGCACACGGAGCGGATGATCGTCGGTGTCGCGACAATGCACGGTTCGATCGGCCTCGGATCGGTCGTATAATGGAGAGTTATCGAGCTTTGTTTGCGAGCGTCGACTCGATCGGGCCTCGTCGCTGTTTTCGGTGTTCGGTGTCGGTCAGTCCTCGCGATTGGTAGGGCGAAGACGTAGGCAGTTCGATATTATGCGCGTAGCATGCACGAGATGGAGAGGTGGATACGGCCTCTCTCGCGAACGGGCCCCGGGGATGGGCCATTTACGACGTATCGAAGTCTTCTATACCGTTCGTTGACTCCGATCGTCGCATTCCACACCGTCCGCGTGTCGCTACCAAAATTATATTGTCGTAAACTTGACTTCGCAAACACCCTCTCGCCTCGATCTCTCGCCTCTCGACATCCTTATGGGAAGGGTTACAGGAAACACGGTTTCATTCATGAACGCCTCCATCGATATCTCCGCCGTTGCTTTCTCTCTCTCTCTCTTTCTCTTCGTAGAACATTCTCTTTTCCATTTTTCTCGAACTTTGCCAAGCGGCCACGTCAGCACTACGAAGCACTCCTCTTCACGCCTCTCGCTATCAATCGGGAAAGTTGAATCGAGCCCTCGCCAAGTGGCGATTTTTAAAGACTCGTCGACCGATCGAATCTTAACCTCTCGAAAGATAAATCGTCGATCGACAGACAGATATCGGAGGGAAAAATGTAACGATTACACGGCAAAAGTTCTCCCCGCATCGTCTTTCCAATCTTGTGAGCGCGGAATATTTACCGGGGAGAGGAATCCGGGGTATCTAGGCTCCCCTCCTTTATCCTCCCCCTCCCCCGATCTCGGAGATCGAAATCGGTGGATCCGAGTTAAGGATCGGCCGAGTTGGTTTCGTTCGGCCAACTTGGCGACCAGGCGTTTCGTATTTCCCCCGTAACAACGTTCCGCTCGGCTCTTTGAAAAATTTACGAACCAATACCGAGGGAGGGGGGAATATAGAGGAATGGAGAGTCGGAATGGCGCGCGGCTTAATGAGCTTTCGCTTTCGATCTCCGATCGATTTCGTCGCCGAGATGTTACCTACGAAGCCTTGAGAATGAACGGTTGGGGAGGAGGGGAGAGAGGAAGAAGGGGGCAAGAGGTCCCGGGCTCATTTGCCGAAACAAGCTCCACCGAAAAAAGTGTAAAATAGAATGTCGAAACGCGTCGCCTGTGTTCCTCCTCTGCCCGTGCAACGCGGTGGACCCGGCCGGGAGAGGTGGACTCCGGTGTTTCCTCCGACAGGACGAAAACGTAGGCAGTTTTAACGTTAGTCGAGGTGGATGGCAGAGAGAGAGAGAGAGAGAGAGAGGGGGCCGGAGTGGTAATTTACGAGGTATCGAAGACCTTGTACACTCCTACCCGCCAACGAGCCGGCCTCGCCCCGCGGAATCCAGTCTTGGCCTTAACGCACCGATACCTTTCCCATGACCACTTTCGGCCTATCCGTGCACACGCGGCTCTACACACAGGTATACACATGCGAAGCCACGGTTGCCTCCTCGGTCTTGATGTTTGTGCCTTTACCATTTACAGTGCTCCTCGTGTCGACGACGCGGTAGGGTACCTTGTCGATATAGTCTATCTCGGGGGGGGCCCTCGACGCGGCCCCCTCCCCACGCCGCCGCTCCGTGATCCGCGTGATTTCTCTTCTTAACGTCACCTATCGCCCGTGAAGTGTCAACGAGGCGATTTCTTAGCACCGGCTCCTTTCCTTTCCACCCATGAACAAATGGTTGGCCGACACGCGTCCCGGATTAAGTCCTCCTCCTTCTCTCGGGGAGCGTCGATACCTCTCCACCAGCTTCCTACCCTCTCTTTTTTTCGATCCTACTATTCCTCCTCCCCAACTTTGATCCACCGTTCGATATTCGACGAATTTAATTTTTCCGAGTTACTTTTTTTTTTATCCTTCGTTTTTCTTTCAGATTAATTTTCAGGGAAAATGGGATATGAATAGGATGATAAGCGATAAGGTAGATAAGATTCGACGTGGAGTGTCATAATTAGATCGTCTGAGGAGCAATAGATCGACGATAGATATATACCCGAACGAGAGATGGAGATTTCGAAGATCGAAATGCGCGAATACGAGAAAATACTCGTTTTGCCGCGTAATTGAAACGTTCCACGAATACCTTTGGTAACGAGAAACTCGTGTACGTAGGATACGTATTCAGCATCGATCCTTTATTTATCGCACCTTTTTACTCATCGCGAAAATGCTCCGTTTCAACGAGCGAGTTGGAAGGTAAAAGGCGTTAAGTGGCGCGGGGCGATTAAATATCTTGGTTTTCACGATGCACGTGGGTTAATCGACTTCCCCTCCAACTGTCAACGATGTCTGATTTACGCCGTGGAAGCCGGCGGATGCGTTCCTCGCCGATAACAAAGGTATGCGCGGGGCCGAGACGCGCGAGATGACGCATTTAAATATCCTTACGAGTCGGGAATAGATTTTCACCACGTTGGACGACGTTAAACTGCCGATAGATGGGTTACGTGTAACCCGGGGGTCGGTCGTGAAGTTGTCAACGGGACGAATTATTTCCACTCGCGCTTTGTTACAACCCGTCTTGTCGATCTGTTGTCGCCGGTTATGCCTCGCTCTTATACGCCGTAATCCGCAGGGCGCGTGGATTCATGGATCCTCTGGTACACGACAACCAGATACCAGGCACGGGTATCGCACTCACACACAGTTGATCGGTTATTTCGTGCCGAATTTCCTTCTCAATTAGCCGTGGCCAGGGCTCATCGATCATCCATCCCGGTTGATTACCCCGGTGTAGGCGAGATTATCGCTGCCAGCTGCGCAACCATTTCGTAAGATCTTGTTTCTCGGGGAATGTTGATGAATGGAACGGTGGAAATGTTGTTACGGTTCACCTATGGGATCGGGAGGGTGTCGGTTG